AGCCCACTACAGCCTCCACTCCCAGGTTTGTTTCTTTCTTTCTCGAAGTCTCACTCTGTTGCCCAGGCTGGAGTTCAGTGGCATGATCTCGGCTCACTGCAACCTCCACTTCCAGGGTTCAAGCGATTCTCCTGCCTCAGCCTCCCAAGTAGCTGGGACTACAGGTGCGTGCCACCACACCCGGCTAACTTTAGTGTTTTTTTAGTAGAGATGGGGTTTCACCATATTGGCCAGGCTGGTCTTGAACTCCTGACCGTGATCTGCCCGCCTCGGCCTCCCAAAGTGCTGGCATTACGGGTGTGGGCCACCGCACCCAAAGGCCTCCCAGGTTAAAGCAATTCTCCTGCCTCAGTCTCCCAAGTAGCTGGGATTACAGAAGCACCACCCATGCCTGGTTAATTTTGTATTTTTAGTAGAGACAGGATTTCACCATGTTGGCCAGGCTGGTCTCGAATTCCCAACTTCAGGTGATCCACCCTCGGCCTTCGAAAGTGCTGGGATTACAGATACGAGCCACTGCACCCTTCCCGGAATTATTTATTTTTATTTGGTTTTTTTTTTTGGAGACAGTCTTGCTGTCGTCCAGGCTGGAGTGCAGTGGTGCAATCTCAGCTCATTGCAGCCTGTGCCTGTCGGGTTCAAGCAATTCTGCCTCAGCCTCCTGAGTAGCTGGGACTACAGGCGTGTGCCACCACGCCCGGCTAATTTTTTGTAGAGACAGGGTTTCACCGTGTTAGCCAGGATGGTCTCGATCTGACCTCATGATCCGTCTGCCTCGGCCTCCCAAAGTGCTGGGATTACAGGCTTGAGCCACCGTGCCCGGCCTGGAATTCTTTTTAAAAATGAAATTGTTGAGGCGTTTTAGGTGCTTTTTGCCTCAGATAAGCAAAGTGGGAAATGAGTGAATGCCCCGCTGAAACAGCTTTATCTGCAGCATAGTTTTTCAACCCTGACCATTAGAAATCAAAAGTGGTACACCGTGGTGCACACTTGAAGTCTTGCCGAGGCCCTTTTTAAAAATAAACCAATGGAAATGACAGAGCTTTTGAGCTACCAGGTCCATCTGCAGAGTAAATGACAAAGATGTGTGGGACTGCACCCATGGTGAGGCAGCTAGCTGCCAACAAGCTGCAGGGCCCCTCCCCGAGGAAAGCATAATGGGAATGGGTGCTGGGCCTCACTTTGCTTTTGCAGAGCTTTACTGGCACCCAGCTGTGCCCATTCATACCTGTATTACTTCTGTCGGGCAGACGCTGAAAATTTACTGTTTGGACCTTTACGGGAAATTTCCTGTCCATAAAAGCCCTCCCTGCACACGCCCCTGTCTGGCC